CTTTAACATAGGCGTAGCTAACCATTGTAACTGGCGGTAGAAATACTACGAGCAACAACCTGGAGGAAGCTTGGAGACGCAACGACCATTGGAAACTCCCCAGCTGCTTAATGTAGCAGAAAAATCTGCGTAGTCCATGTATTGGAAGCAGTGTGAAGAGATATGCTGCACACTATCTTGTTTGCATAATTTAGGATAGAAATGACATGGCCAATCAGAACCAGACATTAGCCGGCGTTAGGCGGTTTTATGACGGCCTTTTTTAAAAGCATTATTATGGTGGCAGAAAAAATAACAGAAGGAACTCACGTCCGAGAGAGCAAAGAACATGACAGCATCTGACCAAGCTTGCATCGCAGAAAGGAGGAATAGTAGCAGGGATGAAAAAAAGAAGGCCCCCGAAGCCGGAACGTCTCGGACACATTCCAGGTTCAGTATGAACAATTGGATAATCTGAAAACCGATACCATAAGCATAGATTAGGGAAGCGTAGGTCTCCACACTGCAAAGGTACTCCAATATGATTATTGTTACGAAGGATCAGGAAATCCTCCTCGAAACGAACAAATCTACATTGCGGCATCCTACCAAGTAAAATGCCATATTTTAATATGTGACATGCACACAGATTACGTAAAACGGCCAGTTTTACGTTTACTGGTGAGTAACTGATGGCTGGGGATCACGAACAATACGAAACGGGAAAATGGGAGTGCAGCTAAATTTGAGGAAAAGTTAAACAAAGAGAATAAAATAAGAAATCAGGTCGTTCTAAGTGCATTTAGGTGAAAGTGGGCGTTAGAAATAGAATAGTAGAAGTGGATGGCGCGACTGATAAGTGCAAGCAAGCTGCTAAGAAGGATAATCTAAAAGTTATGACTTTCAAAATCTGTTCACAAGTAACGTTAAGCCTGTCACAAATAATAGTTTCTAACCTTTTCTGTTTATCAAAAAGTTTTTGGTTAAAACGTTTTCTAAGCATATAGCTGCAATACCAGTGCATCAACATATGGCCAAGAATACCCTGACGCGCGCCAAAAAACAGCAAAATAAGATTTTGGTCCTTAGAAAAGTTACATATAAGCTATAGCTATAATCTGTATTTGATTTCAAAATATATATATATATATATAAAGGCAGATCGCTAAGAGTGCAGCAGGCCAGACGCAGACAGCTGTTCCACGGTCGTTACCGATCATCACCCTTAGCGAGCTGCCTATGTATTATATGTGGTATGTGTCCTAAGACACAGCGTTCGTTATCGCCAGTAGCAACCTGGCGGGCGGACAGAATGGGATCGAGTGAGATCCTAACAACAACAGTGCAAGTCCAACGCCCACTTGACATGCATATACATATATATGTAGCTTATAGCTTATATATGAGCCATAGGCTCAGAACAAATTCTAAAACGGATGGAAAAATATCCCAAAGTAAAAGCAAGTTTTAAGCTTCACTTACACCGGCACCACAGAGCGACGATGGTTGAAATACGGACAGGGCCGTTCTCGAGGAAGATATAGAGCACATTGCTATTTTTGAGCAACTGAGAGCTAGTAAGGCCATAAACAGCACCTACTATATTAACAAAGCGACACATAACGTACATTCTTTAAAAACAGTAGTTTCGTACACCTCCGACGAGTAGATTTTCCTCGAAATAGCAAAAGCAGGTAAGGTAAAGAAACCACAAGGGCGTATGCCAGCAGAACCATGGGAAAGCTGATATAAAGTTCACACTCAGGTATCTTTGGTATTTCCATAGCCCATTCGGCACTATAATTCTACCAGAGAATCATATGTGAAGCAGACTGACGTACATAGGCATAACCCGCGCACAAGAATTCGCGAAACGAGGCCATTGACCGCAAACCACGAACATCAAATAACCTCTATCGTCTCATGTAATTGAAAGATTCAAACAAATAGCCTTTTGTTTAGATATGGTTAGCTCCATCGTAAAGGCCGCAAGCTATACGTTCACGATCTATGAGTCCACAATTAAACCCACTAGATCGGAAACAGTTGCGCACTCTATTTCTTGGACTTGTGAGGGTGGTGCAGAATGGCTGATCATTTGGGCGGTTAGTAGATAGTTAAAATTTCGAGCGTTAGGGAGAAGGATGCAGAGAGAGTGTTACAAACAGCAACCCAGAGATTTCAGATTTATGTGCCTGCCATCAAGTATGCTGTTTCTGGAACATTTGATCCATTTCCGCCAGATACCCGCGAGATTATTACTCGAAAGCTTGAAATTGCAGGTGTTTGCCTAGAATTCAAGAGTGACAGACACGGTTATTGGGCGAAGCGTAAAGCGCAGTGATTGGGGCTACATAAGTTGCCGTAAAACAAGGGGTTATGTGAAAAGATTGCAGCCAACAGTTTGGGAAGATGATAAAGTCTCTAGAATTCCAAACTACTGGCGAAAATTTGGTAAATCTTATCACGCAGATCAAAGATTTTTTACGAGTATATAAATTCAAACAACACTTCAGAACTTTTTTAACAGACCCAAAGTTCGGAAACGGACGGAAGAATGCTAATTATGCAAATAATCACACCCTCTCTCACACGGAAGTGCTTAAGATACGTCTGTAGGTTCGAGGTCGTTTTCGGTTTCGGATGGATATAACTTCTGCCCGCATAAACTAACGATACTGACATTGAATCAATGTAGGCTGGTGTTTCTCGCATCAAATGTATTTAGGTTTTCAAAAGATCATATTCAGTTCTGAAAAGCCCACGCGTAGAGTGAGCATTGGCAGCATCGACACCAACTAGCACAATACATCGGCAAATTGCCGGTGGCCAGTCGGCTGAGTTGTATCCGAACCAGGTAATTTGGCAGGATTCAGTGAGATTATTTATGTCCTCATCGATATAGGCGAGAAATTACGATTATCCTCCATGGCAGACGGTGCAGAATTTTGCTGACGTTCTAGATACGGAACAGAACGGCGATTCGTTTCATGAGTGTAGGCTTTTGTACATTTTTGATTTGTTTCACTACACTTTCTTGTATATCTGACTTTCCTGTACATTTGTTTGACTAAACGAAAAATACACAGTAACAACTCTGCGGCGGTCAACGTGTGTTCTGGTTTCGAGTGTGCTTGATGTCGTTACTTCCTGGCCTTCGCTTGTAACCTCTCAACATTCTTAGCAATTCGTATGAGCTGACGGAGACTCCCTCCTCACAAGCCTACTTCACCATATCATCGCGGAGGCGACTGCCCCTATTCAACCGGTTCCTCATCGGAATACTATCTCGCTACTTGAGAGGATTCTACTTTGCGTGAGTCTGGAACATTCCTTTTCTGATTCTTCGAATCTGTACATCTTTTTTTGTTGGTAAACACAATTCCCCCATTTGGATTTAATTTTTCCTCCATATATCACTGTTTGTAGTTTTCAAGTCCACGTTTCCACTACCAAATTGGTGACCTCGCTTTTTCCTGCATTTCGAACCTTTTTTTATTTACCATGGCCAGTAACGACTCCCAAAAACACTCACTCGACATTAACACTTTTTCTTTTAAACTGCCGCCGTTTACACCGAGCAATCCTCGCGTTTGGTTCAGGCAGATCGAGACTCTTTTTGTGACAAGCCGCATTACTAGCGAACGTACCCGCTATTCGTACGTTTTGCAGTCCCTCCCATTTGATGTAGCTGTCACCGTCGAAGACTTCCTTGACCCCATTCCAGCCGACTAACCGTATACGCGCCTGAAGGAAGCGGTAATCCAACGGATGGCTAAATCGGCCAGCCTTATGCTGCGGGAACTTTTCCCGCAAGTAGATCTAGGTGATCAGACACCTTCCCAGCTCATGCGTCACATACGCTCACTTCTCGCTGGTAGGCACATGGACGACGCCATTTTTCGCGAGATTTGGTTAGAAAAGTTACCGGTGCCAATGCAACAGGTTGTGGCTATGTTGGACTCGAATACACCCTTAGAGAAGCTAGCTACCCACGCTGACAGAATCAAAGAGTGTTACCCCATTGGTGCCTCGTGTTCCAGTATTCAACAGCCCCCGCCTTCCAAAGACAAGCTTCAACAGGGCATTGACTTTGATTCAGAAGGCCCAGCATTATCAGAGCACGACACTCCCTATACGGAAAAAGCACCATGCTGTTGCACAATCCGTCGAGCGCCCACATCAGCCGGTCCTCCCAGAACACCCACTGACGCTTATCGCACCGATTACGACGACCCAAGAGACACTGTGCGCCTCCTTTGCACTCAGGTGAGCAACATGTGCTCTGTTCTTAACAGTCTTCAATCGGCTAGAAAACAGCCATACTTAAATCGGCGGCCTAAATCCCGTGAGCGGCGTTCACAACCATTATGTTGGTTTCATCGCACTTATGGCCCGAAAGCCCGAAAGTGCATACCCCCTTGTTCGTTCGCTCGTCCTTCACAGTTAAACGACCACGCCAGCCAGTAATGGCGACGACTGCTGCTGGTCCGTCGCGAACCATCCGTCTTTTCTATATCAACGACAAGTCGAGCGGCCTCCGTTTCCTTGTTGATACCGGTGCCGAGGTTAGTGTCATCCTGCCTCTAAGGCGTCACCGCCTCAAGCCGTCGCAACTCTCATTGTAGGCAGCAAATAGCATCACAATCAGCACCTACGGCCAACGGTCCCTTACTTTAGATCTTGGTCTCCGGCGACGTTTTCAATGGGTCTTTATTAAGGCTGACGTCAAATCGCCCATTATCGGGGCCGACTTTTTGTCTTCTTTCGGCTTAACAGTCGATGTCAGGCACCGTCGCCTCACAGACACAACCACCCAGCTCTTTACCATAGGTACCATTAGCTCTGAACGTTCGGTTGGCATTCATCTCACCATCCCCAGCACCCCTTTCGCTGACATTTTGAAGGACTACCCGTCCATCACTAAGCCATGTCATTTTAACGAAACCGTTCCTGCATTGATCTGCGACTGCAGTGTCTGTTTTCTGAATAACTGTGGGGGAATTAGGAAATAATTGAGACATACAACTAGGCTTTTTGTGTGGGCTTTTGACTGGAATTCGAAGGTAGATTTCTTTATTTGCTTACAGACAGGTCCATACCTCTGCCTTAAAAATAGTTTCAATGTGCGTGGGACGCAAAATAGTCGCTAAAATACCAGGATTACAAGAACAATCGTTGCGGTAATTGTGACCCGCGAATCTGACGTTTAGTCATTCCCACAATTTCACTTACAAATGACCATGATGCAAACTGTTGTACTTTTCGGCCAATATGTCGTATTTGCGATCGTTCTGTGTTGAATTTATCAAATTTTCGTCAACAACGGCCTATGCTGTAGCGGCCGAGGACGTCAAGTGTAGCACACACCAGAGTAAGGAAACGCCGAGAAGAGATCCTGGCAGAGGTAGATCTGAACAGAACTGTTAACATCTCTCGAAACTCGTTCACACGCAGAAGAAGAGAGTACGTAGAGTATGGATATAGTTTAATGGAACAACACGATATGAAGAATATATATAACAAATGTTAATGTACACGTGCAACGAGGAACAGCGAATAGGTGACCTGTCTGAATGGATAGACGACCCTGCGATACTAGCTAAACAGCCGGTGGGGATGCAGCGCTGTGTGCAGCTGCAGGGAAGGGCCGAGGGGAGCCGACGTTGAGTGAGAGAGCGAGAGGTAGTCGAGAGCGGCGATTCGTTGCGGGAGGGGGGGTCGGCGGTAGCGAGAGGAAGGGACACCGGCCGTCTTCGCCAGCACGCAGTTAAGCCATCTCCATCCTAGGTCCGCGCGAAAAAAGTGTCACGACATTCAAACAACTCTTTTCGTGCCAAGTAGCGTTACAATGCATCGGAAAAGACACCGGTTTGGCTGGCAGCTCGCATTCAAACGTCAGCTAAGAAACAAATTGTCAATTCCTGCCTTCTTGTCGACAAATTTTCGTTATATTTTCAACAAAGCACATGATTTGGAGCTACTTTTGTCGAAAAAAGAACACCGTAGAACTGAAGTGGTTTGCCTTCAAGAGACATGGTTAAATAATGACATTGACTCTCAACTTATTACTCCTCTATTCTTCTACTGCTTTCGAAAAGATAGAAAATCTTTATCTTGTTGCAGAGGTGAAGGTGTTGCCATTTTTGTTAATCAAAATTGGTGTAGAGACTGTAAGTCCCTTTTTTCTTACTCTGCTGATTTGATAGATGTCATCGCTGTTTTATGTAAGCCCGTTTGTTAAGTAATTTTAAAGGCATTATATTTGTTAGTATTTACATTCACCCCTCTTCCTGTAAAGGTGCACTAACCCGTTTCTTCGACTTTCTTTCCAAAAAACTTACTATATTATCCTGCGAATATCTTATTCTCTTATGCGGTGAGTTTAATCGCGTGAATTTACGTCCCCTAACACTTTTAGGCTTCGATGATCTTGTCTCCTTTAATACACGCGCAGGTGCCCCTTCATCATATTTTGACTAACCACAGCAAACTGATTTGCGTTAAAAATAGGGCTTTATTGTCAGGTTCTGATCATTTCACTTTATTGTGTCTTCCAAAGATCTATTCTACTTTTAAACGTGCACAGCTTGCCACGCCTGAGAGAACAGTTAATGTTCGCAACACGTCCGCACAAAACATTTTCCTGCTTCAGACTTGCGTTTCTTATACTATCCCCTCTTTCCTTAAACAATCGAATGTTGAATCCTGCTCTTCCAACCTAACAGCGTTTTTAAATGAAATTTTCGATATTTGCTGCCCTCTTGATACTGTTATGGTACGACCGTGTAGAATTTCTTTCCCCTATCTGAAATCGTTAAGACATAAAAAAGAAGTCCTTTACAAGCTAGGCTTACGTGATAGCCTAAAGGATGTTACCGTCTTAATAAAAACAGAGATTGACAGGCTAAATAGCCTGTTCGCTAGCCAACTTTTTTCTTTTTCCTCCCCCTCTTTCCTCCCTTCCTCAGCTGAGATTTGAAAGAATCTTAAGCGTCTCACTGGCCATCGCAAGACACTGGTGCACGTAAATGCTGATTTAGACTCTCTAAATAAAAATTTTATATTTAGTCACAATGACTCCCATCTTCCCTTAGATGACATTTCTCTATCACCATGTACATTCCAACCCTTGTCTGTGGCAACAGTCGAGAAACACCTCAAAAAGGTCCGTGGATCAACAGCTGCCGGACCGGATGACGTCTCACCTTTTCTTCTTAAATCTTGCAGTTCGCAGATAGCCCCTATTTTAACGCACCTAATTAATATGTCTTTTATGGAGTCCAAGATTCCCGACGCCTGGCGTACAGTGAGAATCACTCCCATCCCTAAAAAGCCTGCTAACCTTGGTCCTTAATCTTTTCGTCCAATTGCTCGCTCTTCCGCAATGCTAAAGCTGGCTGAAAGAGTTGCGCTAGATATTATACAGCCTTTTTCTTCCAGTTTTTCCAACCCTCTACAATTTGCGTACAAAGCCAAACGGAGTACTTTAGATGCTGTTGCTCTTGTGGTCCACTCTGCTCTAAAAGCATTAGACAAGGGTTGCCGCGAGTACGCATGCGCTTTTCTTGATTACTTCTCCGCCTTCAGTACCGTCCCGCGCCCTCTTCTCCTTACCAAAACCTCCGCGTGCGGCTCTCCAGACTGGGTCGTCTCTTGGCATAGCGATTATTTTACTTCTCGCACTCAATTCGTCCAATCTGGCAAACGGAAATCTACGACCCTTCCCAATGATTGCGGTGTTCTCCAAGGTTCAATTCTATCCCCTCACCTTTTCTCCCTCCACACTGACGACCTAAGGTCACTTAATGACTGTCTTTTGGTCAAGTATGCTGATGATATGGTGGTTGGACATCCTCTTAAATGTCAGACACACCTCCAGTCTCTAAAGGATGGCCTAAACCATGTCCTAGCGTGGTCGGAGGAAAATGGTCTCCTAATTAACGACCAAGAATCCGTCCAGTGTATTTTTCGACTGCGGCCCTCTCCTAGTCCTGAATCCTCTGACATTCTTCCTAACGAAGTATCCTCTTTCAGGTATCTCGGCGTTACTTTGTCCTCAAATCTTTCATTTTCCCTCCATATTGGGTACCTATTTACTAAGGTTCGTAAACTTCTTTATTACATACGTCGTTTACGTTCCTACCACACACCTCAACCCTTAGTCTGGCGATTAATCGATGTCAGCATTCTTCCTCTTATTCTATACTGTTCTCCTGTCATTTTCCTGGTTTGCTTAAAAAGGATCTTTTCATGTTGAAACGAGTCCTCCGCCTGCTCTCTTCTGTTGCTGGTGTTTCTTATCTTTTTTAGTTAACACTATCTTGCAACGGCATTTCACTGCGGTCAAGCAATTTGCTGGTCGGATTATTGATGTTGTTGCCCATCCCTTGCATTCTGATCATATTTCTGCGAGGTCTTCCGCCCGATGCGCCGCAGCTTCCGGCTTATGTCATGTCGTTATTCGGCTTATCGGGCTTTTGTATTGCCATTCCTAGCGTGCTATCTTACGTGCGAAGAGATAGAAATACAGAAGCTAAGACTTGAAATATCCTCAAAATAATCGTTTCTTTGTGTCAACATTTGACTCCTAAATAATTTGTTAACTTATTTACTGCCCATAGTGAATGGAGAGAATTTTTTGCTGAAAATTTTAAACTTATGATTTCAAAATAAAGCGACTTCCTCGCTCTCTACACCAGTGCCGCCAAGTACTCACAGCTATCCTGAGTGTTCTATGGAGCCCTTTATTGAGTACGAAAGAAAACGCTCGTGACTAAGTGGGAACCACAATAGTCACACAGGCTTTTGAGATCAAAAACAACTCCAATGGATCTCTCGCGGCTTTCAGTTGACAATGTGACCGGAAAAAATTACACGATCCGTTTGACCGTCAGAATGACATAAGCTTTTATGGCTCAGCCGCCGAAGGAAAAGGTTTCTGCTGATATTAATATGTCCCAACACCTTCTGAACATGATGCCGTATCCGAACGAAAAAATGCTCGCGCAGCCTTCAAGATCAGAAAAATGGCAGCAAACATTCGTATACTGCACGACTGCAACCTATCACAATTGTTCTGGACAACAAGGCAAAGGCTAATTTGCTTCGGTCCAGAAAATTCAATCTTCGAATCTCCCATCAGGAGGTCTTTCAGCCAAATTACTCTCCAGCATGAAGTCTGAACACCTCAGATGGAGAGAGCAACCTAGCTAATTTCAGGGGCTGAGGAATACAGAGACACCTTGCTGTGCTTTCATACCAACCAAAGCACTAGATGGCAGCAACAACGTTGTCTTGACAATCTCGAGACCCACTGAACTAGGCACAGAACTACGCAAACTAAGCTCTTGTCTACCGACGCCCAGAGCCTGGTTTCGAAATTCGACGTAACGATGATACAGGTGACTGACAAATCTTCAGATATTATAACAATAACAGAAAGGTGGCTATCACAGAGCGTCGTCAATTGTGAAATAACACTGCCCGGATAGCATCTAATTAAGATAAATATAAAGAACCGCCAAGATAAAGTTGTCAGATATTTAAAGAAAGACTTAATTATGTGTGAGAATAACAAGAAGATTACTAACGGTACGGAGGCCATGTTGCTGACCACAAAGGCTCG